TAAAGCAGGTCTCTTTTCAAGAACTGTCCCCTCCCTTCACGTGAGCCCCAGCAGGGCAGGGTCATGCCTGTTATGGCCTCAGTACACAGAACAATGTCTGGTTCAGAGTAAACATCCCGCGAGTAATTGTTGAATTAATAAACTGTTGTTATTAAGTCAGAATCTTCTAGATGAAGTGTTGGCAGTTTGCCCCCGGAGCATTAAAATGCACAAGCCTTTTGACCCACGACTTCTAGTAAGGAATCCCATGACGTTATCGGAAAGATTCATGGAAGGAGAAGTTAACCTCCTGGCAAAATCGCGGGAATCCATCATTCCCAGGCTTCATCTCGGCTTCTCTAAGAAGCTGCGGGGTGACCCTAAGCAAGTGCCTGATTGATTATGTTCACAGGGTGACCCCAAGCAAGCTCTTGATTGATTATTTTCTCATTAATATGATAAAATACTCAAGGGAAACAAGAGGGGAGAGGTTTATCTTGGGTCACCATATCAGAAGGATTTCAGATCGTGGCTGAGGGAAGGCATAGCAGTAGTGGGTGGAGAGTGGGGATGGTGTTTACATGGGGGTAGACAGGGAACGGAGAAGACCAGCTGGACCCAGAGGCAGGTGTATTCTTCGAAGGTCCACCCTGGTGACCTATTTCTGCTGGCTCCTAAAGGCTCCTCAGGCTTCTGCAGTTCTTTGCAGCCTCTTAACCTTCAGGGGCAGACCTGTGACCGACCTGTGTTTGGAGCCACCAACCCTGGGTACCTGAGAGGCTCACACTTCAGTGGGTCACAGGGTGGTGGCTGGCTGGTACAGTGGCCGGGCTGTTCTGGGAATACTCACACCTCACAAGTGCTACAGAAGTCTCTTGGAATTGTACATTAGAAAGCTGGAACACTGAAAAATTCCGAATTATTGTTCTTAAGCACCCCTATGGCAAAGGAAGCCAGGGTCTGACTGGGTAACTGGTTCTACTTCAAATAGGCAAAACAAACTTCCCTTCGCTGTGAGCACCTCAGTGTCTTCCCCAGAGTCATTCTGAACTCCAAGACTGATACTTAGGCCTCTGTGTGGGGTGGGTGTACCATCAATAATTCTCTATGACTTTCAAGGTAATATGTAGACATTTGTTTCAGTTTGAGGCTGTGGTAAGCAGCATCCTATACATTAAGATCTCTGTTCCCATCTCTGATTGGTTCTAAGGGTTAGTAAGTATTGATAGAGTTCCCTCTCTGTCTCTGAACGTCATTGTTCTAATCAGTGTGTTGGGAGAGATTTGACATCCATGACCTCTACGATCCTCAATCTTCAACTTCCTGCTGAATTCAAATAACCCAGGAAGGAAGGACCCTTTGAGATTACATCCTCCCAAGCCCTTAACATGACTCAGTGGGAGCTGTTCATCAGCACTGTGGGACCCAGACAAAAGTATGGGAAGAAGATGAGCCAGTCAGGTGTGTTTAGGATCCCAATACCTCTCCCTCACAGGTCAGTTCTCATCCTGCAACCTTACTGGACAAATTAGAATATCACACAACACACACACACACACACACACACATCCTGTCTTACTGGGCCTTTAAGGCTGCAGAGGAAGAGTAAGAAATGGACACACGTCTTGACCTTCGTCTATGCCATAGCTCTTAAAGGCCAGCCCTGCCTCTCTGGGGAACTGAGACACTGTGGCAACCCTTCACTGTTGCCTAGCAAGCCAAGCTGCTTTGCTGCTTCACTGACTTGAGATCTGACCTATGCTGGGACAGTAGCTGCCTCACAGCCATTCCACACAATGAACAAACCCACTGTAAAGTAATGGGAAGGGGAGGAGGGGCTAGGATTTATCTGGGGCTGGTCCCCAGGGCTCTGTGTGAGTGCCCAGCAGCAGCCACGAGGAGTCACGATGCATCTGATGGATGGATGCTGGGGGTGGGGACAGATCCTGTTCCCTTGGAGAACTCACCTGGGCGTGGCCAGATTCTGTGCAAAATGGGGACTCTATGTGAGGCAGCGTGATTCCTAAGGCTGGCTGTCCCCTGCCAGCTCTGCTCTGTCACCTGCAAGGACCTCATGAAGCCATCAGCCTATTTGTGTAACTGGAGTTCAAACAAGTCTATTAAGTACCACCCAATTAAAGTCAACAGCCAGTGCTGAGTTTGCTGGCTCAAGCATTTTGGAGCCCCAGGGACTCTGGATGTTACAGTCTGTGACTTCAAAGGCCAAAGCTTGTTCTCTGCTGAAGGCTTCTGATGGGTCCCCTTGTGTCAGCACAGAGTACCGTCTCTCCTTTGTGTGTTATTTGATCACATCGCGACCTCAGGGCACTTCTGGCCTCTGGTCTCAGCTGAGCAGGGATCCGCACTCCAGGTGTAATGTAAATTACCTCTTACCACATCCCAGTGGCTTTACCTGTCTCTTCTGTGCATGAGAGGCTCCTCTGCTCTCTCAGCCCGTGACACTGTCACCTCCATCCCAAGGCTGGCTCGGGTGTCACCCACTCCTAGAAGTCTTCCCTGATCCCTCGGGGAGGCAGTCTCTTGTCTTCCAGCCACTCTTCGGGCCCAGGTCGTCACATGACTGAGCCCTGTCATTGGTTTGATGCTGGCAGTCAGTTTAGCTATCAAAAGCCCTCGGGTTGTGATCGACACAGCACAGAGTCTAGATAAGGCAGCCGAGGCAGTCCAGAGGCCTCTGTGCTTTTTCTGTTGCAGCTGCCTGTTTGCTGGGTCTTCACAAGGCCTCTCCTGGGTGTAGCATGGGTTTGTGGGAAGAGAAAGGGAGTAGGGGTCACTCTCATCTTACAAGGCCAACTTGGGGAACTGTTGCGAGATATTTTATTGTGTTCTGAGACTGTTAATAAAGTTAATCTTGAATTAGGAGGCAGAGCCAATGACTAGCTGACTGGAATTAGCCATAGAGATTTTGGAGGACCCAGGATATGGTATGATAGAGAGGCAAAGGAAAGAGTAGGGAGGGGCTTAGAAAGATTTTGATCTGGGAAGCCTGTGAGGAACGGGCCATCAGCTGGCAGCAAACATCCATTTTTCCGAAGGGTACCTCATCCTGGGCTAAATAGTGAGGGCCTCTTGAGAGTCTCATCACTCCCGACTGATGAGAGAGAACTGGCTCACATCCTCCCTCCATTTCTGGTCCCAGGTAGACAGCGCGCTGCCAGGGGACAGGTGTATATCTGAAGTACCCAGCTGCTTCTTTCTGGTCCACTCCAACTGTGAACGGGGTTCTTTGTGACTGTCCTTCTTTGTGCCTGGTCACCCAGGACCTGCTCTGCAGCAGGGTCCTTCTCCTTAGGAGGTAAGGGAGGTTTAGCACACTGCCACTCTGGGCACAAGCTTGACTAGGTGCTTGCCGTACGTGTGTGTGTGCGCGTGTGCAGATGTGAGTGTGTGCAGCCAGTTGATGGCTCTGGTCTCTGTGTAGGCTTCAGGGGCTATAGGAATACGGATGCTTCCTGAGGTCCTGGCTAAAGAATTTTTGGAGAGTCCCCAGCTCCTATTTGTTCCTGCCTTGCTCCACCCTTCTTTCCAGCTTGGGACCTGGGTCAGCCCCTCCCGCAGCCAACCTCCCTGTCACTCACTACTCAGTAGGTCCTTCAGGTTCCTGCACAGGCTCCTTTCCTACGGCCCTGAGCCCCTGGAGATGGTCATGCCCCTGCCTTAGATTAGATAGGCCCTCAGACCCATCAGCCTTGCCAGCCTTCTCTCCGGACAGACCTCACACAGCAGCTACAGGCAGGGAACTAGCCTGGACCTTTTATGTTACAGACTGTTTGACTCCATCTCTCTTAGATTTGACACGCTGTGTTTGGCCGATACATCCTCTGCGGTCTCCACACTGATTTTCCGCTTTCTGATTTCTCTGATTGTCCTTATGATTGATTTATTGGCAGAACTGAGGGTTGCCCTAGAGTCCTCTGACCGATGCTGCGAGATGCTGCTCAGGACTCCAGCCTTCCCAGACCCAGAGGCCCAGCTAGATATGCGCATGGCTCCAGGGTAGACTGTGAATAACTTCATCTGGTTTAGACTAGGTTGGGCCATCAAATTACTTTTTAAATCCAGTATCAAATGGGAAAGCAATATTCTTGTCCGGGAGCTTGGAGGCCTGGGGATTGCAGGTTCAGACTGAGAGATGATTCTTATACAATGTACAGGAAGGAGACAGGCGGTACAGCCAAAGGGGTGCTACACAGGCCATGCATGAGGAGGGCCAATACAGTCCGCTCTCGGGCTGGTGAAAGTACATGCAGGCTTGAGTCATTGTCCTAGGTGGCTCCTCGCTATTGCTACAGCCCTGGTGCAGGCGTGGGTTCTAATCCTAGCTCCTAGCTCTGCCAACTCGGCTTGAGGCTTTTTCCCACCTATGGGAAAGGAGTAAAAGGCCTGGGCATGGCTGCAGGGTCTCACTCAGGACTAGGACGACAGGACAGCGGTGCATGACAGGACCCTCAGGCCAGCCCACGTGGTCACGTGTATGGCAGGAGAATATGTTTTCTTCTTCGGTCTAGCCTTAGCTCTGTCCTCACTCACAGGGACAGAGGACAGGTTGTGCCACATCTGTACGCTGCAGAAGCTCTATCTACCCAAAGCTAGCACAACAGCTGTCACTCGCTCCCCTTAAGCTGTGAGGTGCTCCCCTGGGATGCTCCCCTGGAGTGCTTGTATGAATGTGTAGACAGGTTTTAGAGACCCATGGGCTTAGCAGTCTGCAGAGGTCTTGAAAGGAGCTAGGTGTTGTGCTGGGGGACACAAGACCTGGGCAAATGGGAGTGACCTCATGCCAGGAACACACACACTGGAAGATGGCTCCAGTGGGGTCCTCTGACTGAGGGCTCAGAGCAGGCCCCTGGGGTGACCAGAACCTTCCTCCACTCTCATGCCCTCCCCTGCCTCATTCCTCTCTCTCTGCTCAGCGGGACACACGGTTGATGGAATGTCTAGAAATCTCTGAAACAAGCTTTCCCTGTGTATCCATCCCTCATCCGCTCCCCGCACTGCTCTATGAGCATTTTACAGCAAGGAGAGAGAGAGGCTCCCTGGCGTTTATTGAGATAAATAGCGGGAATCTGGCGGGGTGGATTGTACGAGATGCATCTTCGCCTTGCTAGTGAGTCCACACAGACGCGACGACGGCACTCCTCCATCTTCTGAAGCCAGGCAGCTTTAGCAGCTGGCCAGCCGTTACGGCTGTAGGATAACCCACTAGTGAGTCCTCACATCCCACAGGCAGTGGGTCCCCAGAACTGACCCCAGGCCCCTTTCACTCTCCACTGTCTGTAGAGTTGATGCATGAATGACGGGATCCTTGTGTTTGCTTTTCCTGTGAGTCTGCTGGGAGGGTGGAAGGGTGGCCTACACCAAGCAGCTGCTGTGATGGGCACTGGGTCTGCTCTGCAAGCTTGCTGATGGACACAACAGCTCCTCTGGGGGAAGCCCGGGACACTGAACGCATGTATCTTCGAGAAATGGAAGTTCTGGTTGGCTTGTCATGTGAGGCTTCTCCTGAGTCGGTGGCCTGCACTGTTGCTGATAGTTGGCTTGGCTCTGGTCCATGGGTTCTAGCCTGGCGTTACTCACATGTGATCTCATGGCTCTGAAAATAGACAGTCAGGGAGCTAAAGAGAAGGCTTAGTGAAATACTTGCTGCATATATATGCAGAAGGACTTGAGTTCAACTCCAATCACCCAAGTAAATCCAGCGCTGGGGAAGAAGGGAGGAGCGGTGGGGACAGGCCGGCCAGCCTAGACTAGTGAACAAGTCCCAGGTCCCAGTGAGAGGCTGTCCCTAAAAGCCAAGGCTGAGAGCTTCTGAAGAATGATTTCCAAAGTTGACCTCTGGCCCCCATGTACACCCCCCCCACATGCACACACATGCCTGTATGTGCAAACATTCACAACATGCACACACACATAAGGAGACAGCGGGTCACCGAGAGAGCTGTCTAGTCTTTGAGGTCTGGTAAGAAAACTTTATACATTCGCTTCTGACACACACTTCTGGTCAGAGAAGTCACAGGTCTAGACGAGACCTGGGGGAGGGTGTAAGAAAGCAGCTACAGGGACAAGGTGCACAGCCACGTGGCTGAGAACCGGCGTACTGCGATGGTCTCTCTCTCTCTCTCTCTCTCTCTCTCTCTCTCTCTCTCTCTCTCACACACACACACACACACACACCGCGTCTGTTTCATGCATGACCAATTTTCACACTGTATCAGCCCTTATCCATCAGATGGATTGGTTAACAGACTCACTTTTCAGATGAGGAACGTGGCTGAGAAACTTGCTTGTTTCCTCTGACTGAGCATGGCTGGGCACTTGGTGCTGACTGGTGACTCTGAGTGACGATACAGTCAACCCTGCATGGAGGAAGCCATGATAAGGCCATATGAGCAGGGATGAAGACAGGATAGGATGGTTCTTTTTAAAGGGGCTGGGACCCAGGCAGACCTACACCAAGCAGCTGAGAGATATAGAGGGGATTCCTTTGGGAGATTCTGAGATCATACCAGGGAAGGGAATGGGGAATTTAGAGGAGAATTGAGGAGACAGAAAGAACCAGCTCAGTGACCCCAGGCCACGAGTGTTTCAGGACAAAACAGGTCTACTAACCCAGGCTTAGTTGTGTACACACGGAGATGGTCTGGCCTCCGAAGGAAAGTTGAAGGAAGGACCACAGAGGCCTGGAGGGACTGCAGTGGCCAGGGAGCCCTCTCCTCTGAAGCTGAGCCACAGGACAAGGAAGCAGCATCTCCGATGGAAAGATCTGGAACTCATCCCTATTGGGAGTCTGCTCCAAGGAGGAGCCAGCCAGAAATCTTGCTTGGAGTCTCAGCGAATGAAGTGACCAGCAGCTCGGGCTCTTTCTCGTTACAGCCGAGCTGACCCGCCCATCCCCATCCTGCATGGCTCCCCTGCACCAACAAGGGTTATGGAGTGGATCTGCCTGTTGGGCTCATCATGGAGACTGGAAACGGTTGTGGAGGAAACAAATGGGGCTGATAGAAAATGATGGAGGTGGGGAGGGGACCTTGGGTATTCAAGCAGGGGCCCCTCGGTTGCCTCTGTTCCTGCCAATAGGGCAGTGCCTGGTGTGACCCGGAACCCAGACCTCCTTAAGGAAGGAGGCCCAGACCATATTATGGAATGACGAATATCCCCATTTCACAGATGAGAGGACCAACCCTGCAGGCTTAAAGGAAAGGGGTCAGGCTGCACAGCAGCTACTCTGGACAGAAAGGTTGTGTTTAACCTATCAGGATATCCCAGTAGGGAATCCCCCAGGGACTGGAGGGGAGGACCCTACAGGTTTGGGAGGGTCGTCAGGAAAGAAGTGGTCCTGATATTTTCCAGGATTTAGGGCCCAGTCAGTCCTGGCTCAGGTTCACCCTGACATGGATAACTTGGGTCCGGGAGCAAGGATCAGCTGGGATGGGTTCCCTGGAGAACTGCTGGCAGGGTGCCAGGCCAGGGAGTTTGTGCTCCAAGGGGCCTGGACGAAAGTTTAAATTTTTTTTTATTACAAAAATTGTGTGTGTGTGAGAGAGAAAGGGAGATGGGGTGGAGAGAGGGAGAAAACTGGAATCCATCCTATGGACGTGAAGGCCCCAGAGTCCGGCCTATGCTTTTCTCTCTGCGCTTTGGTTGCACAGGCTTAGCGTTCTTCATGGCCACCAAGGACCCTTGTGCCACAGTCCCTTGGCATGTGCTGTTGATTTTGACAACTTCTTCAAAGTCTGTCTTGGTCTCTCGTGATCCTGTACTGCCTGGTTTTGTGTCAACTTGACAAACTAGAGTCATCAGAGAGGAAGGAACCTCAGTTGAGGAAAAGCCTCCATGAGACCCAACTGTAAGGCATTTTCTCAATTAGTGATCAATGGAGGAGGGCCCAGCCATGGTGGGTGGAGCCATCCTTAGGCTAGTGGTCCTGGGTTCTGGAAGAAAGCAGACTCAGCAAATCAGTGAGCAGCACCCCTCCATGACTTCTATATCAATCAGCAGTCCTGTCTCTAGGTTCCTGCCCTGCCTCAGTTTCTGTCTTGGCTTCCTTCAGTGATGTGCTCCAATATGGAAGTATAAGCCAAATAAACCCTTTCCTCCCCAACTTGCTTATTGGTCATGGTGTATTTCGTTGTAGCAATAGAAACCCAAACAAAGACAGACCCTAACCTCATGTTACACACTTTCCTGTGATCATCAACCTTTCTTTACAGTCCATATAGCTATGCATTCACTTGTGGGAATCTAGATCATTCCTTCCTCCTATCTTGTCTAGTGTTCCATGGGGTACAGTCTGTGATGGGTTTGCTTAATTCTTCCAATGCAGTGGCTAAAAGTTATATCCTGGGCCCTGAGTTGTCTGCTTACCTCAGGACCTGTACCTAAGAGTCACCAAGCAATACACACTGGCCATAGAGAGAGAGGATAAGGACCTTGGATATAAAGGAAGCGCTGATAGGCGTGAGGACAATGGCATCCTTGTTCATCTGCAATGAGGGGAGCAGAGCCTCACTGACAAGGACACAGACCAAGTTCCACCTGCCAGTCAGCCCTGTCAGCTGCGCCGTGACTCTACACAGTGTCTCATGAACTAAGAGCTGCAGGGTCCCAGCATGTCCCTTGCACCTTCTCCATGTGAGTCAAGCAGCCCTGGAAGGACAGACCCCCCACTGAATCCACAACTGGGGAGATCAGGCCTTCTCCTCCCATCTGCCGCCAAAGTTCATTTCCTGTTATATGGCATCAGAGCAGACCCGCCTCACTGAGCGAGAAAACGCCAGTCAGCTCAGCTGTGAGGGCTCTGTGTGTGTGCGAGCCTGGGATATTTTGGGAGCCAGATGTCTGCGTGGGCGGAACTGCTCAAGTCTGCACAACTCAGTGCCTAGATCCTGCCGAGTCAGCAATTCCTTCCCTTAGGAGACCCTTGGCCTATTCCCTGTGACAGGTATTTATGGATGCCTCTTAGGTCAAAACAGACCCTGAGGTAAGCAGAAGACTTGGGGCCCAAGACATATCCCAGCCATGGGGGACACTGTCTCAGAGAGATAGAGGCTGATCCTGTGTGACCCCTAGGGAAGTATTCACTTGTTTGTTCTGAGCCCTTTCTGGGACCCTTCAGCCACTGTTTTGGGAGATCTGCCCCATGGAGCTCCAGCTAAGAGGGGAGCAGGCAGGGTCTAGAGTCCTAGAAATGAGTGCATAGTCACACACACTGTAAAGAAAGACTTGTGGCTGGAAGAATGTATAATGGGGGTCAGGACACCCCAGAAACACCTGCTTTTTCACTCCCATCATGCCTAGTCCTGCAACAGTGCCATCTGATGGGGCTAGATTGGGAGCTGCTTCAGGAAGACTCTTAAGCTTCTTCTAGAGAATTCCAGCCCAGAGGCTTGGAAATCAGGTAGCAGAAAACCATGTGGGACTTCCATCCTGAGCACTCTGCTGGCTTCTCTCTTGGCAGCCCTCCCTGGTGCCCACTGTCCACGTTCATGTTGGTGACAGGCATGGGTGTGAGCTGCTATGTGACCTTGGGTCTATCACTCGGCTTCTCCAGGACTTTGCTTCTCTGTGTCAAATGGGGACAGCCATGGTGGGAAAGACCACCTGACTCTGTGCCATCCCCAGCCATGCGAAGCGAATCTTCCCAGAAAAAAAGCTGTCTTTTCTGAGTCAGGCTAGCACTTGCTAACTCCAGCTGCACTCTCTCTGTTTCACGTTGTTGTATGCCAAGAACCAGCCGACAAGTCAGAAACACAACTCTGAAGGCACAAAAGTTTCAAAAGTAAACACCATTGGTGGTTCCCGGATTAGGCTGCCCAGCCGACAAAACTATCTGCCATGTTCTTGGCCCTGGTCTTGACTGCTTTGCCCAGTGGTGGGAGCAGGGGCACAAAGCAGGTTCATGGTCATATGTAGATGCTATTCTATGAGTGTGATGGTAATGGTGGTGATGGTGATGGTGGTGGTGATCACCTAAAAGTCCCAACACTAGAAAATATTGAGTTCAAAATTAGGATCTTCTCAAGTCTTTTATTTTTTATTTTATTTTATTTTATTTTATTTATTTATGTTTGCTTTGAAACAGGGTCTCTCTTTGCAGCTAGGGATTCCCTTGAGCTGGAGGCAATCCTCCTGCCTCAGACTCTCAATGCTTGTATTATATGAATGAGCCACCATGCCCAGCTTAAATGCATCTCGGCACTATAACATATTACCTGAGAGAGTATCACAGAATCTGAGCTTCATGGTGGAGCGCAAACTCTTGGCATCTCCAGCCCTGAACCTAGCCACTTGCTAGGCACCCAACACGTAGCCATGTTCCCTATGTGCTGGTCCAGCAAGCCATTACCAGGCCTCAGCTCATACCCCAGGGTAACCTCTGCTATAAAGACCCGAGCTCTCAGGCCTGGTATCAAGCCTATCCCAGGCTCCCACGGTTCTGCCTTCCTGCCATGTTCTGCCATTTAATAGTTGTTTCTTAATTACACCATGTTTGTCTTTTGGCTCAGAATCATAAACACGAGCTCCAGGGAGGCTCAGCTCTGTTCTGCTCAACATTGCACCCCTAGCCCTAGGCCTGCTACAAAGCAGATGCTCACCCGGTATCCATCAAAGGAATGACTAAATTAGTGAATGAATTGGAAAGATGGCTGCCGGGGCTGTACCTTCCTCCAGGCCATAAGGAAGCCACCAAACCACAGCACACGTACCCCAAAAGGCTGTGAGTATCCTCCTCACCCCTGGGTAGATGAAACCCTGCTGTGTACACAAGAATGAAGGGGTGAGGTTAGATATTAGTTGCCTTCAGGCCTCCCTTGGTCTGCTGGGGTTTAGAGGGGCTGAGTGAGATACCGGGGTTCAAAGCCACATCTTCCAGCTAGGAACCGAGCAGGCTCTGACAGACCAGAAGCCTGACACAGGCAGGCACGACAGATCATGGATGGTCAGCCCAACTTGCCCTATTGTCTATGCATGAGGAGTTCTCAGGGGACGAGAAGACATCCAGCACAGACCACAGAACAGTTTCGGTCCGGGCAGAGAAGCTTTGTGTAGACAGATCCGGTAGAAATTCAGCCACCCGCCCTGCTGGCTGAGACTCCCATGTATTGTTTCCTGCATTCGCTGTGCTGAAGCTTCCTCCTGTCTACAGTGGGAATAACTTCTGCCTTGGAGGCTGGTGTGGGGCCAAATAAAAGGTGGGTGGGATAAGGCCCCCAAGAGTGCTGAATATGTTCCTTAGGTCCTGGGGTGCTAAGGCGTGACCCACTCACATGATGACCCACCTGGCCATAAATGCCCACTCTGAGACTCCAGCTTCCTTCCTCAGATTCCCTGGCTGAGAGAAGGCAGGACACGGAGGACATTGATGCTCAGGCTGACTCAAACCTCCCTGACCCTTGGTGCCTTCTCTAACGAGAACATGGCACCTCCAGAAGAGTGTGGGGATCCACGGAGGAGTGGGCACTGGTGTGCTGAACTATTTAGCTCTGTGGATGGGAGCTTTCTGACCTAAGTGCATGATAGAAATACAGAAGAGCCGGGAGTGGTGGTGCACGTCTTTAATCCCAGCACTTGGGAGGAAGAGGAAGGAAGATCTCTGTGAGTTCCAGGACAGCTTGGTCTACAAAGCAAGTTCCAGTATGGCCAAGGCTGTTACACAGAGAAACCCTGTCTCAAAAAAACCAACAAAGCAAAGCAAAACAAAGCACAGGAGAAAAGACGCCAGAAGCCTGAGACAGAACCCTCTCCTTTGCCCAGGCTCTCTCTACCTCAGGGAGACACTACACCTTTGTGGTCTTTCACTTTCTTCTCTATAAAACAGAAAATTATGCCCTCACTAGGACTGGGGCTAGGGTCCTTCCAGACTCCCCGAGAGGGGAGCCTGGCTGACAAGGGTCATCTTCCTCTGGGTCAGAGCCCCTGTTGTCATGCTGGTTGACACACCCCATCTGGGAGCTTACACTTGGAACTGATGACATAGCCTGTTTTCTGCATTTTAAAATTAAAAAAAAAAAAAAGAAGTGGCAAGCAGCCTTTGGAAGAGAAAGAAGAACATGGGCTGGCTTCCCATGGCTACAGCAGGAGGCCATGGTGGAGGCTGGGGGTGAGGGGTGTGGAAGCCGCAGGAGAAAAGACCCTCAGAGTTCCAGGGGCTCCTAAGACTGGGTGTCATCCCTCAGGACAGCAAATACGGCTTGAGCTGGAACCTTCTGGAATCATCAGATAAACGGCTCGCTGGAGGAAATCCCTAGATGGCACCAAGTGACCCAGCACCAACTCCTTTCCCTGAGGACCCCCAGTTCTCTCCTCATCTGACTCTGGATGATTCTTTGAAAACTTCTGTCCACACAAGAGGAACCCGACATGGGCGGATGTGGATGAGAACAAGGGACAGGGAGTGTGTGTGTGTGAGCTGGGAGGCCTGCTAGGAGGGTCCGGGGAGAGGTGATTCAGGCACCTCTGGGGGTGGCTGGGGAGATCCTGCAGTTAGAACTTGGCCTATGTTGAAGTAGGAGCGGAAGGGCTGCGCCCCGGCACCCGGCCGCCCGCATGGCTAGCTTATGCCCAGAAATAATTACACGGAAACTGTATTCTTTCAAACACTGCCTGGCCCGGCTAGTTCCAGTTTCTTATTGGTTAGCTCTTTCATATTGTTCTAACGATTTCTAATATTCTGTGTAGCCCACGAGCTGGCTTACCAGGGAGGATCTTAACCTGCGTCTGTCTGGAGTGGGAGAATCATGGCAACTCCTTGACTCGGCTCCTTTCTCCCAGAATTCTCTTCTGTATACTCCACCTACCTAATTTTCTATCCAATAAAATGGGCCAAGGCAGTTTCTTTATTATAATTAACCAATGTCCTTCCTCCATCAGGCCTAACTACTCCTCTTCCCTCCTTTGTCCAGAGGCCTAGACTCCTCTTCTCTGGCAGCCTTGATTTTCAACTAGCCAGAAACTCAGAACAAATGGTTCACCCCGGGCATCTCAGCTGCCCCATCTGGAAAATATCTGGAAAGTACATCAATAATCCCACAGCCTCTTGGCCCTAGGGAATGGATGGTAAAGAAAAGTCTTTAGAAAGGGCAAAACAAGCACCCTCTCCCTCTCCATCTCCCTTCCCCCCCTCACACACACGTGCAAACAGACACAGATGCACACACACACACACATACATAGAAATATACATATGCAGACACTTGCATACCGACACATACAAAGATACACACAGAGAGACACACACATGTGCACACACAGAGGCAAGCAGACTCATAAATGCAAACAGACTCACATAAATGCACACACATACACACATATGCACAAACACATACAGAGACACACAAATGCAGACAGGCACACAGGCATGTAGACACCACAGATATAAGCACACAGGTAGGTAGGCAGAAAGACACACAGACACCTCAGAAAGGAGACATGATCTGCAGGTGCCACACTTCCTGGAAGGCTTTCACACCTTGCTGAGTAACCTCGAACCTGGAGATGAAATGTCCCAACTTTAGCCTGCCTCAGTTTCCCAAGCCTAGCAAATGTAGAAGGTTCTGGTCAGCTAGACCTGGGTTTAAATCGTGGATCCGAGTCTCAGCTTTGTGACATGAGACGTGGTCTGTCTGTGCCTCAGTTTCCCCATCATATGACAGTGAGCCTCCCAGACCCTGAAGCGAAGCATGCAGTGTTGCAGCATGGGCTCAGCACACTGTGTGAACTCTGGCCACCCCTCCCTTCTCTTCCCTCATCTCCCCATTGCTTCTCTCCTCCCCCACCCCATCCTCCTTATCTTCCACGGCACACATTGAATTTTATGTAATTGGGATCATACAATTTATTCAGCTATTCAGGATTTTTTTAAGCTCACTATATATCATCAGCATTTCCCCACATCATTGAAAATTCCTCAAAAGCCTGATGTTAATAGCTCCGTAATTGCGCCTCATTTAGATGCTCCATCGTTTACCCGCGTCCGTCCGCTGCTGTCAGATCCTCCGAGGATGGCCGGGTTTTTCTCACATACATCAGCTGATAAACCTTTTGGGTGTGACTTTCCCAAGTTGCTACCCTCATCCTCAGGATGGACTCCTGCAGAAAGGGGTCTGGCTTCCTGTCAGACTCTGCATGCTTCCTGAAGTTGTTCGGGTTGCCTCTCTGGCAGCCAGCAAAGGCATCTGCACCCCTCTCCCTCAAGAGCCTAGCCTAGAGCTCCCAGATCCCGGGATACCCGACTTTAGAATCTAGGACAAGGTACAGCTCACTGAGGGAGGGCAGCACAGGCAGAGTCAGAGGTTCCCTGCCCCACTGCCCTCATTACTGCATACTGCAATGCCCCCTCTGTGCCGACTCTCTGTTTGTCCATCTGTCTCAATAGTTTGCCAGCTGATATCGCTCTTCCTGACCCATCCAGACCCATCCTGGCACACAGTAGGTTTGTTGAGGTGGAACTACAAAGTGCTCTTTCAACACACACACACATGAACACATGCATGAACCCTTGCATGCACACACATGCTCACATACATACCTGTACAAATGCACACATGCATATTCATAGATATACACGCATGTGTTCAACCACACATATACACATATGCACACATGTCTGCATATATGTGCGCATGCATCTAAATACACACATACATATACACACACATTCATACTCACATGAACACAGGCACACACATGTATGCACACACAGAAGCCATGTCATCTTCCCACCTCAACCCTGTTACTTGCTTCTTTCCTCCCTTTACATTCTGCTGGGAACACCATGAAATGATGGAGAGGAAGACAGACCCTGGACAGACAGTCAGGGTTTCAAAGTTACATTATCGGTGTCCCTCAGTTTCCCCTCATTGCGACTGGGATTGCAATGTCTCTCTCAATGATTCAGTGTGATGATGAACTGGGGCACTGGAAGGATTCCTGAACATTTCTGACTTCTGAAAAATAGAAAATACAAATCCCAAGTCCTGCTGTAGGAGTTGGAACTGGATGGTACCACTCTATCTGGTTGTGACAGGTACCCACGAGTCAGCAAGAACCCTCCTGTGCCTCTGGGCTCTTGAAGCATAACCAGGGAAATGAGGCTCGGCTGCCATAGATCCTGTATTTGGAAGCCTGTAAAGCGAAACTCTGACATCACACCCTCCATCAGGGCCACAGGCACACGGCCTCCAGGTGCAGGAAAACTCTGCTTCCTGGTGTGGTTACCTGGGGGATAGAGGATGGCATCTCTGCCCTCTGAAGTTACCGGGGTCTGCGTGCCTGGGTGTCTGTCACAGGTGCTGAGAAGAAAAGACTTCTGACTTTCCTAGCTGCAAAGCTTCATGTTAGCGTTTGGTACTCCCAGCGCCATGAAGAAGGATGTCTGCTCTGACGGTGAATCCGTGGCTGGAGCCCAGATCTACAGGTTTTCTCACACAGCACAGCCGTCCCAGAGAACCACCCAGTCCTGAGGTGGGAGTTGAGAAGTGAGGAGGATCCAAAGGTTTTTTTGCAGCAGAGTCTTGTTACCCTAGCTACACTCCAAGAGGCACAGGAGTGTGTAAGAGGGTTTCTGATGACTAGTGGGTACCTGCCGGTAGCTTAGCTATGCCCAGCGGCCAACAAGCAGGAATTCTTGTCTCCATGAACTTATTATACCTCTTTGGCCTGGTATGCAAAGTCCACTGTGATGTCGCTCTGGTTGACCTAGCCTGCAGTTTCTGACCATAGCTCTGAGCTGTAGCCACAAAGGGACCCTGATGGGCCATATGAGCCTCAGTTTACTTATCTGCAGCATGAGAGCTAATGTACCATTGTAGAGGTGCCCTGGAGTGCTACATGGTCACTGGTTTGTAGTACTGGCCAGAGAAAGTAGTCCTTAACTGTGACAAACTCCCATTCCATCTACACTGCCCTGGCTTGGATATTATTTGTCCCCTGAAGGAGTATGTGTTGGAAGCTTGGCTCATCTGTGGTCCATCAGAGGTAGTGGGAACTTTAAAAGGTGGGGCCTAGTGTGTTCATTGGCTGGAACTGTCATTGGAAGAAACTGAGCACATTCTTATGGGACTCTTACTGTGGTGAGCCCTGGAAGACAAGTGACAAGTTGGGGTTTGAGACTAGATCACTCACCCAGGCAAGGAAGGGATTCAGTGAGAACTTGAACATAGATTCTCCACGGTGCAATCGGTGGCTCTGTTGTAAAAGCTTCATTTGTTTGTTCCTTATATTTAGTTTTTCTGTGACAGGAACTTACTATGTAGACCTGGCATGTGCTCTGAAGACTAGGCGGGCTCTGCTTCTCTGTTAGTAGTGCTGGTAAGACAGCCACGTGCCATCATGCTGAACTTGACAAGAGCATTCGAGGAACACAGGACTTAACAATCTACCTAGAACCCCTAGAAAAATATTGGCCAGTCCTCAGTGATGAGAAAATTATCGAACTGCCTGGGCAAGTGGAAACTAGAGGAACAAGAGGTTGAATATCGTCTGTAGTCTGGGGTGGATTGTGTCTCATGGGCCAAAGATCAGGGGGCCACCATCCACTATCAGGAGTGTAGGGGTAAGAGGGACACCCGGGCAACTAAGAAGTGCAGTGGTGGCTCTCATGCCAAAGCAAAAGTGGTGGCATCACTTGCCACCAGAAGCAATGGCCAAGATGACCAATAAAATCAGAGAGCAAATCAAGTGGGGGTGGGGGGAGAACCAATCTTGAAAGGTTACAGAGTGTATGATTCTGGTTTCTCCTCTTCTTCCTACCCACTTCCTCCTACCTGCTCTCTAGACATGTTCTCCCTATGTAGTCCAGGCTGATCTCAAACTTGTGATCCTCCTGCCTCAACACTGAGTGCTGGGATCCCGAGTGGGCATCATGTCAAACTTATACAACATCCTTAAAATGTCAAAGTTTTGTGTGCTTTGGAAACATCAGTGATTTCAATGGATCAGGAGAAGGTGGGATTAGGGAGGAAGGTGGGCATGGCACTAGATATCAGCATAAAGAAGACTTTGTAGTGTTGAAATGATTCTGATCTTGGCTGTTGTGTGGTTATAAATGTCAACATATGTGACCACATGGCAGAGTCATGCTTAAAAATTGTATTGATGTCAATATCCAGATGTTGACCTTGCCTGGCTGTAGTCACCGGGGGAAGCTGAATAAAGGGTACATGGAACCTCTCTACTATTTCAAAAGCCTCATGCAAAACGACAGTAAACGGAGAGCTGAAACGGTGTAAGGAAAGCAAGCATGGAGCTGGTGCTCACGAGATTCATGGCAGTGGGACACAACAGGGAGAGATCAGTGGTCAGAACCTGGCGTCTGACCTGGCCCAATGGCCAGAGCTGCGACCCCTGAGCTGCCATCTGGGGCCCTCCACACTGTGGCAAATGAACATCTTGGTTACTCTCCATTAATTCTTCAAACATGCAACAACCAGACACCGTGTAGGCTGAGATAATGACTCTAAAATCAGAAAGGTCTAGCTAGGTGCGCTATGGTATAGTGGATTCTGTGATTGACTGGCTCCACCCCTTTGGGCTTGTGGTGAGGCAGTTTATCATGGTGGGAGCTTGTAGAGGAACTAAGCAGAAGGACAGAGAGGAAGGCACCCAGGTCCCAGAGCCACCCTTAGGAGCTCATTCCCAGTGACCTAAAGACCTCCCACAAGTTTCCATCTCCTAAAACCTCTGCCATCTCCCACTAAGGCATGCTAAATGTTGAGCCTTTAATGCATAGGCCTTTGAGGGA